AGATAGATCGAGAGAGAGAGAGAGAGAGAGAGAGAGAGAGAGAGAGAGAGAGAGAGAGAGAGAGAGAGAACATCTCAATTCTGCGCGAGTCTTTTTCTACGCGACTATCGACAGTTCGGACTTGCCTCTCCGGCAAGGGGAATTGCCGCGATGAGAAAGCAGATAAATGGCTGTCGCAGAAATAGTAAATAGGTCTTCGTGATGTATGAGAGAGTTCGATATAACTTCTCTCGTCCCCCGACTTTTATTCAGAATAAACGAGCTGTCTTCGGCCACAATTTTCGTTACGCTCGTATTCGCGCACTGCAGAACGAACGAGGCAACTGCAACACGACCTGTTTGTTTACTGTCGCAGGTGTCCGCCGGTCAGCACATGCAGCTCACGGGTGACCTGAAGCCGGGTGTGTCTGTCGCCGCGCAGCAGGGCATGTTCTTCAATCAGCAACAGACGCCCAATCAGCCCGGTCCGGGCAGTCAGTCTGACACCTATTGCTCGGTCTCACAGTCCCAGACCATCAACTTCACTCAGCAAAGTCTGAGGCAGAGGGCGGCCGCCGCCGCCGCCAGCGGGGTGCCGCAACCTGGAGCTGCAGCGGGGGCGCGCGGCCATCCGCAGCAGGTGCCGACTGGCCAGGTCGATCAGCATCAGCACGCGAAGATCTTACAACAACAACAGCAGCTACAGCAGATACGCGCGCAACAGGTAAGCGACCTTGTCTTCGCGTTCCTTTCAGAGTTTACGTTTTCGATGAAAGAATGCTTTCTTCTCGCGATTGAATAATTTTGCCAAAGGCGTCTTTCTCGTCACATCTACGCGACATGTAGCGATTCAATAGCCAGAAGTTCAGTCTTAAAACGTGTAGATTATAATACAACGCTACATAAAAATAAAGGGCAATAAGAGACACGCACTGGTTCATCAATCTTTTTTCATTAATATCTCGGAATTTCACGTGGTCGTTTGAAAAATGGTAGAAGAATTTTTTCTTCAGTTTGACTTAACCTAACCTAACCATATGCACACTATGGCTGTCAACATTTTTCGGATGTCCTATGAATTAAGTTGTCTGTATGTTTTACATCAAATACAATCAAGACAATTGATCTTGTAAATTAGTTTTTGGTTTTTTGATGAATTCTTTATGTACATGTACGCATTGACTTTGTTTTTTATTCTATGCGAACAATCATATTCATTAGCTATGGAAAATAAGTTTTATCCGGAAATATGATTAACATATGGTATGGTAAAAAATCTTTTTTTAATGAGACATGTTATTTTTATCGTCTCGATTTTTATTACTTGAAGGAACATACCAGAGAAAAACAGTTGTTTGCGGTGTTTATTAGTTGTTTGAAAGATATAATTACGTTATACGATCTACTCTGTTGCTCACAACAAAGTTACGATCTATTCTGTTGCTCATAAGTTTTATCCGGAAATATGATTAACATATGGTATGGTAAAAAATCTTTTTTTAATGAGACATGTTCTTCTTACCGTCCCGATTTTTATTACTTGAAGGAACATACCAGAGAAAAACAGTTGTTTGCGGTGTTTATTAGTTTGAAAGATATAATTACGTTATACGATTTACTCTGTTGCTCATAACAAAATCATCTGCAATTTGTATTAATTTCGGCTAAAGATGATCATGTTATACATAGTCGAAACCTTATTCACATTAGATCCGCAACTGGCTCTTATTGTTCTTTATTCTTATATTACTCGAATCAGCGAGTCCTACAATCACACTTTTTCACACCTCGCGCTGACATCGTTCGCGTTCTCGAGAATCGCTCGCTCCATTCGACGACCGCGACGACTGAGCGCGTTTCCATCGTTACTCCGATAAACGGTATCGTTCCGTGTGCAACTTCCAGCGTGGCGATTGCTTCTGTAAGCTTCATCGCGAGATTGCCGCGCGATACCCCCCCGGTGGCACATTATCCAAGACATTAAGCTCGTATCCGAGCGGGAGAGAGAGAAAGAGAGAGAAAGAAGGAGAAAGGAGAGAGTGCTGCGCCCGCGACGTTCGTATGCAACAGGTATCACTAGGTCTTTTGCAACTTCTGTCCCGCCGCGTTGAAAGAAGCGACACAAATAGGACAAATAGCGCGGCGCGAGCTTCCTCGGAGACGGCGAGCGAGAGAGAAAGATAGCGTCAGAGAGAGAGAGAGAGAGAGAGAGAGAGAGAGAGGAGGGGAGGGAGGGAAACAATGAGGCGAAAAGTTTTTGCGCGACGCTAGAGTTACCTGCAGGAGCCCGGATAATATTGGCGAGGCCAAGATATCAGTGTGAATTAGTGTCCTCGACGATTACTTACGCTTCACGCGAGATTAAGCGTCGTCGATACATGCCTCTTTATCACCGGCCGGCTTTTCTCGCGGCTTAATCGACCCGTTGAATCGCGATGTGCATCTCACATGCAACTGCCGCCGCGGCGGTTCCTCATGATAACGCTAAATGTATTCAGCTCGCTTATCTCGCAGACGGGGTGTATTGAATAAGTAGCATCTAATCTAACGATCTCCGCACGTATACAGGATACATCAGACCGAGCGTGCTTCCTTTCGTTTAGGGATCTTCTGGTAGGATTCGAGATTTCCTTCTTTTTCAACGAGCATTCGATGGAACGTCGTGTAATTTCCTAATTTTCCGAAATTCCGTCCTCGATATTCTCAAAGCGGGTTACCTGCGTCTGTAATTAGATCTGCAAAAGCCACTGATTAAATTAAGCCGTTTCCTTTTCTTTCGGACCTTCTGACAGGATCTGAAATCTTCTTTTTTTTTCAATGAAAATTCAATGAAATCCTTGATGTAATTTTCCAATTTTCGAAATCCTGTCATCGATATTTGCAATCGAGGTTTTATTATTTGCGTCTGCAATTAGACATGCAAGAGTCATTTATTAAATTAACAGGATACATCAAATCAAGAGCAATTTCTTTCATTTGGGGATCTTCTGACAAGATAAAAGATGGTTTTATCAGAACACATCAGACCGAGCATACTTTCTCTCATTCAGGATTCTTGCGAGATTCAAGACGATTTGTTTTTTTTTTTCTTTGAAAATTCGGCGGAACATCGTCTTCATGTAATTTCTTGATTTTCCGAAATCGTCAATGTTTGCTATCGAGGTTTCACTACTTGCCCCTGCAATTAGAAATGCAAGAGTCGCTAATTAAATTAAACAAGATACATCAGTTTCTTTCACCTGGGGATTCTCTGGCAGTATACAAGAACATTTTTGTTTCTTTTTTCAATGAAAATTCATCGGAATGTCGCCTTTGTCGCGACAATTTTTCGAGATTGTTCCACTTGCGTCCGTAATTAAATCTGCAAAAGTCACTGATTAAATTAACAATAAAATCGTCGTCGGTATCGATACCTCCATCGCGGCTCGTTCCGTCGCTCGCGTCGAAAGCGATAATGGTGGAATCGTCGCGCGCGATTAAACGCGTCGCCGGGAAGTTGATTTAACGACGCGAAATTGCGTGGCACACGCGTAGCCACATTTGACGAGGCGCGCGCGCGCGACTACGCTCGCCTAGATCTCCTCATCGCGTTTGCGGACCGCTTATTGGCGGCTGACTCAGTCGCAGCGCGATCATTATCTTCATAATTCTAAGGTAGCAAAGAAGACGACGACGACGACGACGACGCTCGTGCTCCACTTACTAATTGTACGTTTCACGCAATTGGTTAGTCATCCGCTCTTCCAGGGACGGCTCCGGGCGACAAACGAGAAAACGGTATACATTATCGGAGAGTGCGATACCCAATGTTTTTGCGCAGAATATCCACCGATGGCGGACTTTCAATCGAATTCCGCGATCAATTGTGCGAAATATAGGATATAAAGTTAAAAGTATTGCTAGTATTCTGTTATTTCTAAAACTAAGTGAAATATGAAAGTTGTGTTTTTTATCAACCACATTTGATATCGAGAGTAACATCATTTGATGAAGTTTTTTCTACGTGGAATCGTTAAGGTAAATTCAAAAGCTTAAATTTCTAATTATCAGCTCATAATAACCTTCTAATACTTTTAACTTTACACTCTGTATATGAATAAATTATGACAGACCTGTATAGAATCGATATTAATATGATCGTCTTGTATCGATATCTGATGAAAAGTAGAAACGTAAAAAGTGACAATTTGACGTTTCTATCAGATCAGCAAAATTTTCTAATAACTTTTATCAAGATTGACATATAGTATGGACATATTTATATTACTGAAGAAGTTTAAAAATATCGATTAAAAGATATTTTGATGTTTTTGCCTAACAAATGAATTCAGTATTTATCCAAAAAATATAATCTCATTCTTAACAAAAATCTCTAGATTCTAAAGGATTTTATTCTTATATATTCTTATATATAGCTCCAAGAGAGGATTTCTCTAAAACCTAAAGGAGAATATTTTGAACACAATATTCTTAACCCTAGAACTCTAAACTCTAAACTCTAAACATAAAAAAGTTACGTGAACCTTAAACATAGCTAAATTTTATCCCCTGCATTTTTATTCGCTCGTAATTTCCGTAAAAAGAATAAAAATTCAATGTATCTTTTTTAATCGATGTAGAAAACACCAAGGAATATATTAATATTTTTGCGATTTATGCTACAATTCTAAGCAAATATACGAGTAAATCGTAAAGTCGTAGCTTACGAATCAATCGTAATGTTGATAAAATTCACAAATCGTAATTTTATTGACAACTTTTAGTTAATTGTAAGATTTACGAGAAATCGTAGATTTACGAATTATCGTATGATATACGGTCCGCATAGAATTGCAGATAAGTCTACTGATAAGTTCTTATGAGTTTTACGAGAACAAGTTACTAGTTTTACGATTTTGTCTAAAATTGCAGTATTAATGAGATTGAAAAAAGCTATAATGAAAACAAAGCACATGTTTTTAAGAAAAACGTTAAGAATGTTTTCTTGTGTTTCAATATTTTAAAAATTGGTTTGTTGGTTAAAATAAAAAAATGTTAAAAGTTCTAAAGTTCTAAAGTTATATATAAAATTAGAAGAATTTTGTACAGTATAAATTGTATCTCTCGTATTTCGCGTGAGCGGAGATTCTGCTTCAAGCAAATATATCCCTCTTGAATAAAAAAATTAGAATAATATCTACTAGATTTCCGACTAATAGTCCACTTCACTAGAAGAGGAATACTTTTCGAGTAAAAGTTTTCTCGCTTAGAGTATGGGATTACAGGGAAATACTACCTTGCAACAATTCCTTTTTTATATTATATTTATATGACCATGATTTTGTTGGCTCTTACAAGCTTTAATTTCTTTTGTGATTGTACGTTAAATGTACAATCGTACATTTAAAAACGAGGACACACATTCAATGTGCCAGTAATCTTTTTAAAATTCCTTAGGTTTCTCAGTGAATTCGAACATCTACACGACTATAGACTCAATCTTGATTCGCGCTTATTCACGATGATATAGGAATTGACGGGATGATCGGCTCCGCACCATGCTCGTATCCATTCCGATCTATTAGGATAGTTAACGTGCACGGAATGGCAGGAGCATCATCGCGCAATGCCGTTTCGATCGTCGCCCACGAGTTCCAAGAAGTTATTCGATTCCGTAACACCGCCGGGGAAATTTATACTATATTTAATTTATATTATTTTAATTTATACTATATTCTCATTACATTAGCAAAATTAATGTAATCGGCTATCAAAATTAAATTCCTTACTTTTCCTTGTCTGCTTGAAAAATTCTGAAAATTTGTATGCCGCAATAACAACTACATCAAGTTTGCCTTATTATTCAGCTATACTTCTCTCTCTCTCTCTCTCTCTCTCTCTCTCTCTCTCTCTCTCTCTCTCCAGACGATGTTGCTCGTTGCTAACTAATGATCTATTAAGCTTTATCTATAATACGTGGAGTAAGCACGAAAGTAAGTAGGAGTAAGGAATAAAACTAATTTAGTTCACTTATAAATCTAAACTTCCCTTATAGGAAGTATTTACTTAATAGAAACCCGAGTCGAAATTTTGGATTTTACAATGCAATAAGAATTAAGTTAGCAAAGTGGGTTTAATTCTAATGACATAATTTACTCGTTTGACTCTGATGATGTCCGAAATTTTTACATTCTTTAGTGTCAAATAAGTGTTGAATGAAATAGTAAGACTGAAAGGATCAAAATTTTGATTCGGGAAGACTTACTGCGTATGGAAACTGGAATATAGGCGCATAAACGAAATAAATTATTTTTATTTCTTACTCCTACTTTCACTTCTTACTCCAAGTTTACTCCGCATATTGTAGATGAAGCCTTAGTACATTCAGCAGACGCGTACATCGCTATACATTCCATATATATACAACACGCGAATTAAGGTAACGATCTTAATTATGGATCATTTAAAGTCAGAGTAACTTTCATTCATTTACAAGAAATTTGCCGATCGAAAGGGACTTATTACCACTGTAACAATATTGTTAATAACAACGCAACAAATGTCATAATTCTGAAGCAAAATTATTAGACTTTAAGTTAATTAATTTTAAATAAAGAAGAGATAACGTTTATGCGTAAATTCCAATTATGAGTTAGCAAATTATATTTCGCGTCCCGATAATAAATTATACGATACGAAATTTTATATTAACAATTTTATATTAATAATATCCATATACACATTGTTTTGGTTTATATAGAATGGTATATGTAGCACAACTTACTAACAATTCCATAAATCTAAAAAGTCGGTATAAAATATAGTAAAAAACAATTTATATTTGTGTTGAAATCGATCCGTGTAAAGAAATTTTTGTGTTAAAATTTTAATATTCCGTGTGTTAATTTAATAATATTGTCGTGTTATTTTGACTATACTGCGCGAAATATATTCACCATTTCTAAGTTAAAACACAACAGTGTCCAAGTATTATATTTTTGTATTAACTTTTGACATATTTTGTGTTATTTGTTTACATATTTGTCTTTGTTAAACTAATATAAAAAATAAATAAATTGGGACTTGCAAAATATGTTAAATTTAACACAAAATTTTTTACTATGCAAATGATGAATAAATGATTAAATTATAAAAAAATTCTCTTGAATGATGAAAATATTCTTTAGCTTTTTCACGGTGCTTTTTTAATTCTAAAATATTACATTTACAAATCTTGAATAATAATGTTTGTAGAAGTAACCTTAGAACACAAAGTGGTAAAAGAACTATAGAATATAAATGAACGTTTTCTATGTTTCCATTATAACGTCTACTTTCTAAACACATTGATGTGTGCGAGACAAGTTTGATTCGGACCTCGATCTATAATTGGGACCGTTACATTATTTTGTCTCGCTCACCAGGATCGCGGCGCAAACATTTCGGGCATAGTTGCACAAGAGAGCAAAGCGCGATTGCATTTCCCACTTCCTGGTGTTACGCGGACGCGTGGAAAGTCTCTCCGCGAGGGAGAGGACGACAATGGAAACAACAGCGACCGCCGCAGGAAGCCGATGCGGCGATCGCCGTCGCTTTCCTCGTCGCCGTCGGATACGTTCACCCTTTCGCTCTCTCGTCTCGCCCGCCCACCCGCTTGCCTCCTCTCCTCGCCATCGTCGCGCCGGCGTCTCTCTTTCCACTCTCGACCGAGCAACAACCTGCGATTAGGCGAGCAACGCCCTTCTGCTCTCTCGAGACTCCTCCGTCGCGGGAGCAGAGAGTATCGTGGCGAACCGACCTTAAAATCGGCATATAACGATTTCACGCATGCTAACCGATCGACTCCCGGATGCGAGAGGATCATCATCGCGATCATCGCTACTCTCCAACAAGTATCGAATCGACTCTTTTGTAGAAATCCTCCACGAGTGGATCGCCAAGTTTCGTAATCCTCCCTTCGTCCATTTTGGGCTCCTCGTGACTAGCAATGAATCGCATACTAATCGATAGAAGAATGATAAGCTATTTAGAATCTGATGTCCGTTGCTGAAAAGGAATCGTCTGAGAAGTTAGGTTCACTCATCTGACGATTCTAATGACAGGGAAATGTTATTTGACCTTTCTATAGGTGGAACCGGGTCTAGTTGGCCCAAGAGATACGTCATTCACGTACTTTGTTTACATATTTGTCATGACAAAAATAGCGGAAATAAAGGAAATATGTGCTTTACAGGATTGTTGCGGGCAAAAAACATAGAAGAAAGTTGCCTCTATTATAAATTAAAAAAAAATATTATTTAGTACATTTTTTCAATTATAAGAAATACTCCATATACTATGAATACATCTCTGAACAGCATCGACTTGAAGGATTGTGTCTATGAAAGATTTTGATCCTCTAACAATAATCTTCTAGTAAACACCAATTAACATTAATATTACATCAATGTTATTCAATGTACTCAATGTTATCACCTCCCACTTAGCAATGTAAGTGCAATATATACATGACAATGTAATTTGGTATGTACATGTTGTATATAAGACAGTTACATTGTTAAATGAGAAATCATAACATTGATGTAATGTAATATTTCTATCAGTTTATTGGGCTTTCATCAGCTAAGTCCCGTTACCAGTCTTGCGAAGGAAAGAAGTAAGTCCAGAGTCGATGTAAAAGTAGATTTTACGGCATGTCTTTCAATGTACAATATCTTTTCCGCGTTGTCACATTTGTTTGTTCCTAATCTTGGTATCTTTCGCGCTTGTGATTATAGGTTATGCAACAGCAACAGCAACAACACATGGCAGGAATGGGGGCTGTGCGGCCGCCACCACCCGAATACAAGGCAGCGGCCCAGGCGCAAATGATGCACGCCAGTATCGGAATGGGGCAGCAAGCGAGGTTTGCTAATACCGGACCCATGCGTAGAGTTACGCAGCAACCTATGCCGCCGTCTGGTAAGTTACGCAGAACATCTCAGTCAGTACGGAGACTGTTCAGTGAGTGCGCGCACCGAACGGTCATTGTACTGTGCGCACTCGTTGAACCGTGTACTGCATCCGTAACTCGTTGTTTTGTTTTATATCATTGCAATGAAACAAGTAATAAGTCGTGACTCTTAATAAAAAGTTAAGAAAGATAAAGATAATCAAATACGTTAAAGATGTAAAGTAATAATAAATCGTCACTACTTAATATTAAATAGTTACGGTCTCTTTTATATTTATATTATATTATATTATATTATATTATATTATATTATATTTTACGAGGATTGCACATCAAATATTTACAGATATGTTATATTGGTTATATAAATGCAATTTCTAATATTCCATCAGATTAAGGAAAAAGAGTAAAGAAGTGAAGAATCGAAGAGATGAGGTAGTTGACGTTACAATGTATATATCTGAGAAGTCATATATGCTTTAATATTATAAGTAGGATTATTTGTTTTCAATTTTCAATTTTATAATTGGATTCGTAAGGTTGAAAATCCTCGTTATTGTTATCGTTGCTGCTGAACAGCAAACAAATTATAATCGATATTAGAATCATTGTTATTGTTGTTGTTAGTATATAACGCCTGATACTAGCTGTTATAACTCGAAAATTTTTTTTTAATTTACACAAAACTGTCAGCTATCTCTCTCCAGATTCATTCTCGTTTTGTTATCAATTTAATTTTTATCTTATTTTATTCTATTTTAATTGTTCATATCGATGTGTTATTATCATCGCTGCTAAACGGTATAACCCAATATTTTTACAGAATATCTAATAATTGTCATACCAATATTCGAATGCAACAAATTAAAGGGAATCTTCTATCGTTTTGTAGACTTCGCAATAATTATTAAGAAATTAATTAAATGATATCAATAAATGAGTACGCGGATAGGACGAGTTTTAAAGGCATAATTTTGAGGCAGGTGTCTTCTATTAAGAATCTGTTGACTACAGCGAACGGCATGTGATGCTGGACTGCACGCCTACACAGTTTTCAGTTTGAAGTGTTTTATACATACTGTCTTCGAGTTTGGTATGATAATTGTTAGATCTTCCTCACTAACTCTTATTAAATGTAATTTTAACATTTTGCCAGATATACTCCAATCACTTTTACAAAAGAAAAGAGGACGGAAACGAAAAGTCGAAATCCCAATTGAAAACCCTGACTGCCTTGGATTTAACTACGACCAAAATCTTTCATACAATCCATCGAATTGTATAACTATGCCATCATACGTCAGCATATATAACCCACCTTTACAACACTCAGGACTACCAGTCCTGACACCCGGGAGTACCGTTCAAAATCTACCTAGTACGCGTTTTTTTTTTTTATTTAATTTTCATATTTCATTATTATCATATTTTCTTTCACTATTTTTACCGATGCGTCATCGTCACTGCTGGACAGTAAACGAAATGTCGCGCCTTAAATACAATGTTAATGTTGTACAAGCTTCACTGGAAAGGAAATTTTTAATCCTTTTTATCGTCACTGCTGGACAGTAGACGGAACATTTATACACATTACTTACTTACAATGTTAACATTGTACAGATTCAACGAATACTATGGAGAACACGCAAAGAAAGAAGAGGATTGTAGAGACTACAGTAAATCCAACAACTATTCAGACCAACAACTATCCCGACGAGATGAACATCAGTATCTATAACAATCTATCGCATACCACACAGTCTCCATATATAAACAGTCCAGATAACAGTCAATTGGACGAATATCAATTGAATGCAGGATTGCCTAGAGACATTATACAACATAACTATATTTGTATGCGTCTTTTATTTTATTTGATTAATTTTTATATTCGTGTTTGCTTTTATGTATGTATTTGTTATCATATTTTTTAATTGCTTATATTGAAACGTTATCGTCGCTAGCAGTTTCCAATAGAGAGTTCTGTGGAGGTGGTAAAATGAATTACTCCGCAGGATACTTTGTCTCTGTTGTCATGTGCATGTTTGATGGCGATTACTTTGTACCAAGAATTTCGCAAAGGGTACGAAGCGTTTTTTACTCTATCGCTGTCACGCCCTGACACTATTATGTCAGATAATTTCAAGAAAATTTCGTACCGAATACACATCTATCCACTCAGATGCGTGTCGATGACGACTACCTTTCGCGAAGAGTATGGCTTCGCGAGGTATTTCTAGCTCGCGCTCTGAGACCGTTGTTTATGGTACATGCTGACAGTTGCGACAGATGGTTTCATGAAAATTCTGTATTGCACAGAATACGCTCTATCGTATATCCATAGCGTATCGATAGCGGCTATTTTTCGCGAAGAGTTCCGCGAAGAGTACAAAGTGTTCCGAACATATACTCTGAGGTCATCATTTGTGACACGCCGTGTGACACGATAGAAAATTTTAAGGAGATTCCATACACACGTCCGGATGCATGTTGATACGATGGATAAAAGAAAAAATTCGATATATTCGATATGTATAAATCCAAGACATTCACACTGTTGCATGATTTCGGTGCGAGTTCCCGAAATTTATGCGCAGGTTTCAGCAGCAGCGTCGTCATTATGGCATATGAATGTTTTTCGCAGGTCCGATGATGAGGCCACAACTGGCGCAACAGCAGCAGCAGGCATTACACGCAACCGGCGGTAATATGTACATGGGCGGCGGTGGAATGGCCGCCATTGGCGGTATGCATCAGATGCACCAGCGGCTAGGCTATCCGAGAACCAACAATCAGCGGCCGCCTAACGTCAGCGTCGGCCCTCCGGACGGCCTTGGGAATAGCATCGCGAGTCGCGGTGGCCAGCAAGAATGGCGACACGTTCTGATGCAGCAGCAGGGCTTTCAGGCGCAGATGCGATCGCAGTTCAACCAGCAAGGTCACCAAGGTGAGTGCTAAGAAAAAGAGAGAAAGAGGAAGAGATCGAGGAGGATCCTTTTGTCGCTGTCTGTCGTCGCGCTCGCCGGCTCGGCTCGTGATCGCGATGTTCCGCCAGTCGGAATTCAGCCTCGCGAGTCAAAGACTCCCTTTCGAGGGAAGTGGTTTCGTCGTCGTCGAGCATACGCGTGTTATTCTGTTTTCTGAACACACTGGTTATTGGAAACACATGCGTTCAGGAAGCGTATTTGAAAAATTCATCGAGTGCATAAAAGGTCAAACTCGCCTCTGTCGATTTGTTTACCCTGTTGCTCGTAAAAATTATTTACACAAGATCGGAGTATGCGGAATTTTATCGAATCGTGTAATTCATTTTAGGTGGCTTCGGCATGGGCGGCGCGGGCGGCATGCAAATGACCGCGGCGCAGATGCAACATCAGCAGCAGCTAATCCGCTCGCAAAACGGCGGTATTGCCGGATCGGGGATGTCCAACAGCACGCAGATGCAACAATTATTGTCACAGCAACACCAACAACAAACGTTAGCTATGCAGAATAATAACCAGATGTCATTGCAGATGCAAATGTCGCAGACATCTTCCGTTAACTCGGCTACTGGCACCGGTGAGTAACTCACAAGTACCTTAAATATATTGGAGATATTCATGAAATTTTGTCAAACAGAAATAGATACACACATACGTACGTCGAAATAATTAATAATTGATTTCAGATCAAATGTGTGTTATTCGATTTTCAAATTTCTTTGACAACATCATTTTACATATAAACGTTTTGACAAAACAAAATTAATTAAACTTTAACTGATCTATTTAAAAAACTAATGAAAGCTGTTATTATTATGAATAATATCACAGATCTCTGTGTCAATAAGTGACCTTCTCCTTAGTTCGTGCCGTATATCTTGAAACTAATGATGAAATAATAATTTACGAATCGTATGTCTAGGTTCCCCATTGCATCCGCATCAGCAGTATGGTGCGGGCAGCCCGGGAGTGCGCAGTCTGCCGCAACAGCACACGCAACCACAGGCCACTACTACGGACCCTGATTTTACCCTTGAATTCCTAGACACTCTTCCGACGGGAGACGCGTCGAATTTCAGCGCTCAGGAGCTGCTTAATTCTCTAGACACTACGGCTAGCTTCAATCTCGATATTCTGTAAGACCACGCGTCAGCTCGTATCGGGGATGTGGGTCTATATCGACTTGCAATAACGCGAGTGAGATCAAGCAGCTCTAAAGTACAGCTCGCAAGCGCGACGATTCCAGTTCATCCTAATTTATTTCAGTTTCCATTTCTCTTCGTTACATTCCAAGTCGGCTGAGAAACGACGATACAAGGAAATATGAAAAAGAAATGTGAAATTAGCGTTACGGACGGCAGCACGTCAGTGAAACGCGGAAACTATTCGCATACGTCCAAGTATGTCTCCAGTAAAAGCGTTTTCTTTGATTCAATTCAAACCAGTTGACTTTGCCAAGCAAAATGAAACTGCAAGTAAAACTGTGAATGTACTGACCGCAATATAAAAATAGCATACCTTACTTTACTGTCGGTAATACAACACGGGCATTTTGTACAAATAGTATCAAAAAATTCGCTGAATCATTCGCGTTAAATAAGCACAAAAATAAGTGGAACGGTTAACACGATTAATACTTGCTTAGCTGAACCTATTTACCGGTAAAAAATTGGTTATCTCGCGCCAGTTTGTCGGTAAACGTTCAAATTTCTTGACAGACGAGTTCGGTAATCATTTTCTAAAACCGATTGTTTGTTGCAAAGTTTTGCGCGGATCCGCATCGGCAACAACATCTGTTTATTGTTTTGTTGCGTAGCCAGCGTTTGTTGTTGATAGTGCTGCGACAACAGTTGTTGCATTTTCAAAATATATCACTTTTTATTTGGGGAACTCTATCCACGGACTAAATTGAATTTATTTCTACGTAATTATATAAATAAACTTAATTTATTTATGTAGAAATACAAAAATAAAATAGAAAGAAAAATGATTAACGTCACACATATGTGACGTTGATAGTAAACATGGTCTATTTAAAAATTGAAAATTTTTAAGAGGAATAAGATTGAAGTGAGAGATTACTATGTGTTTTACATGTGTTTTACATGCTGGTAGCGCACGTTTGTTTTTTTTTTCTAGTTTTTTTCTTTTTTCTATTAGTTTTTATGTGTGACTTTTAAGTCATATATTTAGTCATATAACTTTTAGATTATATATTAAAACTCCTTCTTTAATTTCTTTTTATTTATATTTAACTAAAATTTGAACTAAAATTTCCGTAATTTAAATACATATTTTCACGGAAAATTTTGTCTTGTCTGCATTTTTTAGTCAAACTATTTCTTTAGAATGTGAAAATATTCTCACACAATCACGCACCTCAAAATCAGTATCGAATGGTCATTATTTAGCTGGATATATTCTAATGATCGAATTCTTCAAACGTCGCTGTCATAAAATAGACTCGAAAACAAAAGACATTCGCGGATATTTTTCGCGAATTCTTTAATTAACATGTTTTTCCTATTTCCTTTTCACATCGTTATTTTAGAAGATCGACTTTAATGGTTAATTTATAAGAATAGCGGTGTAACAATAACAATTAGGGAGTAGCGCATTTTAAACACTTGCCGTTGACGGTATACTTAAAATTAACAAAATGTCAATTATCAAACTCTTGATCCGAAAACAGCGAAAGAAAATTTTAACGTAATATTAACGTCATAAACATTACATAACGTAAATAAAACAGAGAAACTATTTGCATTTTTTCTTTTTATATCGCTGTTTTCGGATCAACATTTATATTTAATTTATAAGAATAATAGGAGGGAGGATATAACAATAATGGTTAGAAAATATCATATTCAAACACGTGCCATTAGTGGTATACTTACAATTTAAAAAATGTCAATTATCAAACATTCGGTCTGAAAATGCCAAAGTGAAAAGGAAATGTGAAATTAACAGTCTATCTTGAGATGCATGAAACAAAATCCACGAATTTAGTCGATTAAGAAATCACATCAGTAAAGCACAAAAAATACCTGTTTATGGCATCAAGTTCTTCTATAAAAAACGATTGATTTATAATATCGGCTGAATTTATTAAAACAAATGAAGGCCATTCATTATTGAATTTAAAATGCGTCATTGTGTGACAAAATTTTTATGAAAAAATAATTCTAGTAAAACCTGCAAAAAAATATTACAAATTTTCTTTTTCAAAATTTGTATTAAAAATTTTATATCTGATATAAAGTATTTTGTTTTAAACCATGTGAAATGATATGATAAAATATCTTGCATTAAAAAAAAATATTATATATCTTTATTCTATGTAGAAAAGATATATATGTAAATATATTTATATGTATGTAAAAAGATATATATATATATATATATATATATATATATATATATATATATATATATATATTTTAACGCAAGGGAACGATAAAACAAATCAATTTTTATTATAAAATTTTATGATTTTATTGAAAAAGTTTCCGATAACTTTATTGTGACTTTATTGTGATCGGAAAAAAATCTCAAGATTAAACAAAGATCATTGTTTTAGATGTCTTTTGAAACCGATTTTTATTTGAACTTTTGTTTGAAGATATATGTTCGAAAATGCGATGGTTGTGAGATATTTTTTATAGTTTCTTATATCACTTAAGAATACTTCTTGTATCGTTATAGAATACTTTTTGTGATCTAAAAAATTTTTTTGGCTAAATTATAAATTATCTTAATGAAACCCCAAAAGATGAAAAAAATCGAATTACCTAGAGTTAGGTTGCTATCACCTAGAGTCATCATTTAGAAAAGGTTACTTGTAAGAAAAGTAAAAGAAAATGGAATATATATTTTGACGATGTATTTCGTGTGAATACTCACAGAAAACAATCGGTTTTTAGAAAATGAAATCTGAGCAATTATCGACAAAACGGCACGACGATAATAAATTTTTAACTCAACTGGTTTTTGTTGAGACAAATATCGCTGTCACGGAAGACAGACTTTATGTGTGCGAATATATTGCGTATCACTGATATGTTAACGTCTGTAATGCTTATTTCATATCTTTTTTCTCGCATCGCTATTTTCGAATCGGGCCTTCTCGGATTGACTAGGATGTAATGAATAGGAAGCGATGATCGCAAATATGAATTCGTCGTTAGCGTCGCGCCATTGTGCATTTTAGAGGTCACTGATCTCGCGGCGAAGGAGGGAAAAAGGTAGGACAGGCGGAAATGCACATTGTTATAGAGAGAGCATCAGGGACCAACCAAGAGAGCAAAGCGCGTGATGTCGATTGTCACAGTGAATCGTTGCTTCTCTTTTCAGACAGTATTGGAGTTGATAGCAGTGCCTAGAGAGAGAAAAAGAAGAAACTTTTGTCCCGTTTGTTACCCCGACTTGTTAGAAAATAGCTTGCAATGTCGGCGAACAGTTGCTCGTGGTTCGTGTAGGACTTGCACGCATTGAAATATATACACACAGGGATCATAAACGTAGGGACCTTGATTTTTACACTGTCGACAGTCGATCGTGAAGAAATACGACGTAGAATCGTGGCGAAGATTGCGACGCGTTAATTACTCGAGAATAAACCTTGGTTGGGGCGTATACATATGTCGTGTTGTTTGTAATGTTTGTATAAAAGCATACGCGGGAATATTTCGAATGTAGTATAAATTCCATGTTAAATTTCGAATTGTTGCTAATAAAAAAAGCGTTGAGTTCCTACGAGTTTATCTTCTCACTTGGGTTTGAAATATTTCAGAAGGGAAAAGAGAGAGAAAAATAACAAGCTAAAGAATCTCTTTGTCGTTAATCGCGCGACTGTCGCGTTGTTCAATATACGCAATCGGCCGGATTGCGTAAAATTAATTAATTCGATCGGTTTTGCTGCACGGAAAATCCGGAGTCGACGATAAACCACGGTCGACAGCTTATCGCGCGTCGTATCGATCCGTCCTAAAATTAATGCGTATTATCCAGTGCGTTATCCCGCCGCGCAATAACGCGCGCGTCTCGCGGTCGGTTTGCCACTTCTCCACGTAACGCGCTTTGCCTTCCTCGATAAATTTCGCCGCGCCCCCACCCTGTCTTGCGCGAGATTTTTTCTTCGATTTTTAGCAACGCTCCAAGTCACCGGTATATCGCGCGTTTTCTCTCAGTTTCCTTTGCAAAAGTGCCCCCCGAATTTCTTCGTCTCGCCTTCTCTTTCTCCGCCTGTTTTTTTCCTTTCCTTTTCCTTCTGCTCGAAAACGCGTCGCCCTAGTTGACGAACGAAAAGAGCCGTCTCCGTCTGCGTTACGATCTTACACTAGGTCGAATAGCAGCCTAACGTTGCTCGTGGGTGGGCCTCGGCAGGAGGATCAATATCACCGTGAGGGAGAAAACGAGCAGACTGAGAATGGGAGCAAGGAGGTAGGAGATCCGCCGCGATGAGGGATAAGGATTACAAGGGCGGCGGCGACGGCGACGGCGGGAGGGAGGGGACGGTCGGAGGGAAACGCGTACTCCGAAAATGTCAATTCGCCGCTCCGGCTTCTCATGAAATTACGATCGTGATAAGGGTCCGCCCCGCGTGTCGACCCCGTTCGATTTACAGTGGCTCTCTCTTTCTCTCTCTCGCTGCTTCCGTTTCTCGCAATCCTTCCTCCACCGTTGTGCGCGAGCCCCAAAGCCTTAAGACACTTTCTCAGTCCGACGAGTTTCGTTAATTTCCATGTTCGCGTGTCTCGAGTAAGATTGTCCTTTCCGTAACGCGCCAATTTAACATATTTCTTTAACGACGTCGCGAGAACACGATCGAATAGTTGTGATGCGAGAACGTCACTCGACAAATTGGCGCGTTTTCTTCGCCGGGGACGAGGCGAGTCGTAACTGGGAAGCGCTAACTGGGTAGAGAGACACTCGTGGCGCGAGCCGGCCGTTCGATCGGCGGCTCGCGCTGGCCGCGCGAGCTTTTCATTGATCCAATGCGCAAGCAGAGCAACGATCCACTGGCCGACATCGACACACACGTCTCCGCCGCGACGATGCTCCCCGACCTGTCGCGAACGCGTACGCGCGACCAATGTACAGTCGTTCGTACGAAAGAAACTCCACTGTAAAGCGTGTTATCAATTACTGAGGTCTGCGACGACGGACGCGATAATGTACGAGAGAAGGACGCTCGTCGCGACGTCGTCCTGTCTCTCCCGCCGCGTCTCTATTGTAAAAATGCGTCACAGCGATGCGGCGAGCGTCAAAATTCGCATTCACATTTCCTCACGCTCTGCACGAAGAAGAAGTGATGAGACTCGGGGAGGAGTGTTAACAATCTCTCTCTCGCGAGCGTCACGAGAACGATATTGCGTCTTCTTTTTCCACGACGGCAGACTTCGAGCAGGTGACGATAATGAGCTTTCTAGACCGACTGAGTCGGCTGGAAGACAATTCAAATATCAATTAACCATCTCACGGGAGAGGGCACTTTAAAAAGCGGGATCAGTATTTCTACGCGCGAAACGGTTTTCATACATTATAAAGGAACAAAACGAAAAAAAAAATAATTAAATAAACGAGCGCTTCTCGGCGAATATTATATAGATGAATTACTACGAAAACCACGACGACGATAACGATGGCGCACGACGCGTCGATTTTTCCTTTCCTTTGTCATTGTAAATACGCATAGGACACGCAAAGAGATAGGAGACGGTAGATAGATGTATAATAGAGACCGCGAGCGAGCCGACCGGACGGTTTCCTCCGTGTCGTTGCGACGATCGACGATCGCGGACTCTCCTCGAGTACATTCCGCGACGAGAGGAAGCGATCGGGAGGACAGCGGGTCCTCCTGGTCCAGCGGGTCGCTCTCGTAGGGCGCCTGGCACGGATCGCGAAGTACCGTGCGAAACGATGCACTGCTTCGAGAATGAGGAAGAGACGGGAGGAAAAACGAGAGAGACAAAGATAGATAGATAGATAGATAGGTAGGTAGTTAGATAGATAGAGAGAGAGAGAGAGAGAGAGAGAGAGAGAGAGAGAGAGAGAGAGGATCGCCATGGGAGGATCGAGATGCGCGCGGCTTCGCGGAGAAGTCGACGCTCCGAATTCTAAAATTACCTTCGTAAGACCGTGCGTACACCACGTGTATCTCAGGAAACCGCGGAACAGCGTCGACTTGGCGAAAAGCGCGGGACGCAGCGAACACGTCCCGGCACGCTCCACTCTCGCCGAGCTGCCTTCGCGACGCGAGAGCGATGCACCGCTACTCTCGTCCGACGATTGTGATATATACATATACTGTAAAAAAACAAAAGAAAAAAAAGAAGAAATAAGAATGTGGAAAAAGCATGCCCAGTCAGGAACAGAATATGATTCTCGTCGCGAGAAATAGCGGGACATTGTGCATCGACCGGCTTAACCCTTTCTCCGATTCCCTAGGTGACTATTTATTCGCGACTTGTCGATCGTTCTCTTTCACTCTCACACGAGGGGAATACAGATCTTTTTGTAATCTCGTCAGAGAGGAGGAGGGTTAACGGGGAGCGCGTCACGGGAAGCGCGACTGATCCTCGTGTTTGCGATTGATCGGGGTGCATCGGTGATCGTCCGGTCCGATCCGTCAAATCAGGTGGGCGCGCGATTGAGCGAGGCAGCAATAAGAAAGAATGAGAATGGAAGGAGGAGGGAGAGAACGAATTGTCTGTAAATAACAGTGTTGCATTATTATTTATGTTGCTCTACCGTGGCGAGTAGTAGTAAATTATCGTAACGATACGTAATTTAAAGATGAGACGAGGAAGAGAGAGAGAAAGAGAGAGAGAGTGTGTGGATCGTACGATCGGGCAGCGTGTACATAAGTTATAGGTATATCTTTCCTGGTAAAGGATACTTTATGAATAGTTATTTTTATTACTATTAGTTACTATGTAACAATTAAGTATCATATTACATTAGTATCATTAGTTTATTATTTTTGTCTCATTATATATTATTACTTATTCCCCTATTATTATTATGAATATTATGATTACGGTTGTTATCCTTCGGCCGATGATCTCAAAAAAAAAAAGATAAAATAGAAATTACGTTCGAATGGGAGTGCCGCAAAATCTTCTCTGAATTAAAAATTTACACAACACGCGGAATGGATCCTTCGTTATCATTAAGACGGGTTTTATTTCTAGCCTACTACGTACTCTCTAAACATGTTTATGATGCAGTCAAAGTACACTCCCTCGCCTAACCATTATTATTACAGTTTCCAATGACCCAATAGTTGAATTTGCGCTCCTTGCGCAGATCATTCTAAGCGAAAAATTTTGTAGGGGTGATTTTCTTTGGTTGCATGAAAGATGTACGGGAAATCTGATTCAGTGTCGCGATCTGTATAAATGTTCAATTTATTTCGGAAATTAGAAAGTCGCTTTTTCAACGTGTCTAATTTGCGAGCGCATATGCAAGTATTGGTCAAAAATATGAAGCGTCTTTACATTAAAAAGACAAAATGAAATTTTATACTGAATTATACGAATACTAAATTTTACGAAAATAGCATAAGATGGTGTATTTAAGAAATTTGTGCAGATTTAATTTGAGAAATTAAATAGACAAATCTAACGAATGAGTAAATTGAAAGAAAGTTTGTGATTTGATTTAGATCTTTCTTGAAGTATTTGAATCGCCGACTAGTGATTTAAATATTTTCTATAATAAATTGAAGCTGTTCCATATTTATGACCAGATGTTCGTTTGATTTGTTTGACAAAAATATGAAATCATGCTTTAGATATGTTCTATTTTTAGCTCTGTCTCTATTTTTAGTCTCTGTCTTTTTATAAGAGCTACGCGCCAATTTTTAAAACAGTGCGTTCACCCGCGGCTAAATCTGAAATGTTCATCGCATATTTACGCCTTATTTTGTAATTCTCATCTCAGTATTTTTACCCGCTATTCGACATCGATCGAACTGCAAATTACAACTGACATATCGAATCAGCTTGGTTTCGATCATACGCAAGTATGATAGCGATGCAACACTAGACAATTATTCATGAACATGTTTTACCGAACGAGAGTCAAGACATTTTTTCATGTCTTTGTATATTTTTATGCAATGTTGTAGAATGATATTGTTTCAAATATATTATACAGATAATAATAAACAAATTTATATGCATTATCCAGCGTGCAAATTCATTTATACCTTATTCCAAATCCATCTAAAGGTAAATAAATTCTCCAAATATATAAAAATCTGCTGTAAAACCGAGTAACGTCCCTGTAAAACAAACAACTTAGAAGTAACTTAAGTACTTTTGAACCAATGTGTTTTGCGATAGAAACATTAAAAGATATTTATATTATTAAGATTTGTATTGAAATATTTTTACCAAAATAATTTGTGCATATATTTGCGTTTACAGTGAATTGCAAAATAGTTTAGGCACAATGAAGTTGGGAGCTCATCAAATTATCAGAATTGAGAATCATTAGTAATGATTCATTATTTTGACGGGTTTGTCCAGTAATTATATTATTAATTGTTATTATTTATTATTACTGTGTTCTTAATTATATTCTAAATTATATTCCCGGGAAAAGTTCAGATAAAAGCCAGATATAGATTTTGTCAAGATCTGATCAGATATAATCAGATATCATTCAGATATGATTCAGATCTGTTCATGTATAATTATATATACAATTATATATGGACAGATCTGAATGATATCTGATTATATCTGATCAGATCTTGACAAAATCCATATCTGGCTTTTATCTGAACTTTTTTTTCCCGGGTTATTATTGCGTAAGTACATTAGATCTGTTCATTTTCAAAGAATTTCTAAACTATTGTAGTAAGTTAAAGTGAAACAAATATATTTTCTTTCACTATAATATATTAGACTAGTGTGCACTAATTTAGAGATTCTTCGAAAATAAACAGACCTATGGTCTGTTCTTTTTAGTTGCACTGCTGAACTAGTGCAATAAATTGAAGTGAGATAACTATACATTTTCTCACTCTAACTTTTTGCACTAATTCAGCAGTGCAGCTACAAAGACCAGGCTTCTTAATTAATGCAATAAGTTGAAGAGTGATTTGGGCGTTGCGAGTGTGTAATAAAACGCACGCTTGTTAGATACGGTATTTATATCATTAGATATAAAGTCTGATCTACAATATGTTCTTTGCTTCCTGCTTTTTCTCTTTATCTCTTTCTGACTCAAACCTTAAGCTTTAAGCCAGGAAAAAACAGAAGACAGAAAACAGAACGCAAAGAGCATATTGTAAATCAGGCTTTAGGCTTGGGCTACAATGGCGTACATACATAGACCAAGCATTCTTATACTTCTGCTGTAGCAGCGAGTGAAGCCGGAAATTGGCAGTTTAAACAGAGCGAGAAAGTTGGACAAACCAAAAGCACAAGTTGACAAACGATTTTATTCATTAGAATACGAAAATAAAGATCGTCAACCGCCTAAGAACTTTACCGATTTCTTATCAATCTTTTTGAGAATTACTCTATTTCGCGGAGTGGACAAACGAGAATGATGCTTGGAAAAACAAAAACGATGCTTGGACATTCGATTTTAGTCATTAAAATGCGCAAAACAGAAATCATCGAACGCTTAAGAATTTTATTGATTTCGAAGACTCTTCCGCAAATACGATCCGGAGAAATTCGCAAACTTATCAAATTAATAATCGCAAACGCGAACGTGAATGAAAAATCAAGCTATGAAAATTATGATGATAGAGATAAAGATTCTATTCAAAATTCACGCAAAAAAAATGTTACCGTGTGAGACGTCTGTCTTTGTTCGATGGAACTTATCGCGCGCCGCGTAAGTAAACAAACAACTGTTCGTATGTCTGACTTTGTGTACATCGCGCTTCTCGCGAGGGACCAACGCTCGCAAGTATTGTCTTTATTGTGTTCCGCGTTAGGAAACTCTAACTCTAAATGAAAAATTGAAACCTGAAAGTTTTCCGACGATCGTGAAATTAATTTCGCGAGCAGTTTATATAATCACGTTAGATCGTTTCACGCAGACGCCGCACAATATCGAATTTTATTTAACGAACTCTGTACTTTGTGAAATGTAATCGCGACTCAAGTTCACGCGAGAGAGAAAACTGAGAAAATTAACGACCGCCGGAAGATCTATCGAGGCGAGTAATGTGATTATGCATTTTCTGTGGCGCAATTTCTGTGCGTTGGCGCATTGATCGAGACACCTGGAAGATCGCATTCAATAAAACTGAATAATTTTACATAAATTTGAATTTTGAGAATATACTCGATACTTTAATGGCATCTGCCAGACAGTGTTAGGATTTAATTAATCAAAATTATCGAATAATTATAACTGGGCAACGGCGATAATAACTGATGAAAGATGAGGTAAAAAAATCGTTGTAACGGCACGCCCGAGTTGCTTTCCTATGCGTAATAGCAATAATTAAATAATCGAATAGATTAAATAATAACCGAATAAAGAAGTAATCATATATAGCACAGAGAATTCAAAAAGAATTCAAAAAGAATTATTCAGAGTTCAGTTTAGTGAAAAGAATTCTTTCTGTATCTAAAAATAAACTTGATGACACGACTGAATTCTTTTAGAATTCTCTGTGCTATCTGAGATAATACTCGAATATTAAATAGTAGTGATAATAATATCTGCTCGACAATCGTGTGATAATATCCGCGAGTGGATAATAACAAAATAATGATGATCGAATAATCAATAATAATAATACCTGAACAACGGCTCTAACAAAAACTAGGCTCCACAAAGCTAGGTAAACGGCCTTCGTAACGGCCTGCTCGCGCCGCTGACTGAGCGGGTTTGAGGGGGGCGCGCGGCCGGGTCATGTAAACATCGCCATAACACTCTCGACCGTCGAGACGAACACATCGGGAGCTGCCGCGTTATCTTCTAGATTATTTCGTGCCGAATTTTAATACCGCGTTTTGACTTCGCGATAATTGAGGCGATAATTAAAACAAATTAAGAAGCGTACTCCTCACGCGAGCAGGTGTTGCGGGTTTTACCGCGATTGGTAATTACCGCGTTTCATTTACTTTTTTACTTGTAGATAGAGAAACGTCGCGATCGAGTTCCTCAATGCCGGTAAAATATCATTATCCATTTATTATTCGAGTATTATACATCTTTATTCGGTTGTCATTTAATTATTGTTATTGCGTATTGGGAAGCAACTCGAGCGTACCGTTACGACGATTTCCTTATCTTGTCTTGCTGTCGTATGTAATTAATTGATACTAACGGATATTACTATACGGTTCGAACAGACATTATTATTATCGTCTATTAATTAATCGAGTATTATTATTTCTTTATTTGGCTATCGTTTAATTATTTAATTGCGCATTGGGAAGGAACTCGAACGTGCCGTTATGACAATTTATTTTTCTCGTCTTGCTGCATATAACCAATTGATACTAATTTATTAAATTTCTAATTGATACTAAATTAAATTAAATTTTTGTCACAGAAATCTAATAGAGAAAACGCAGTCACGCGGCTCTAGGGGATGCGATGCTTGAGGGATGCCGCGCCGGAGGATTCGGCTCGGGCCTATCTGAGTCAGCTCGAAGGTGAGCTTTACTAATTTATATTCGTAATTAAAAATTCGACAAAACCGAATATTTTATTGCTTCGAATCGAGTTTCTTAATGACTCCATTGTCATGTGTAATACTAAATTAAATCTGCTTTCTGTTGCAGAGACGAAGCAGACGACCAGCCAACTCTTAGGGGCTGCTGCGCCGGAGGATCCGGCTCGGGTCAAGCGGGGATAGCTCGAAGGTTAGCTTCACTAATTAGCATTAGTAATTAGAAATCCAATAAAATTGATAATTTTTATGCTCGAAATGGAGATAATTTGAATCGAATCAAAGATCGCGTTAAATTGTAATTACACGTGGGAAAAATTTTTCCTGAGTAAAATCACCGCTTGAAAAATATTGATTTGTTTTATTTAAGAATTTTTTTGAAACATCGAGAAAAAGAAAAGTAGAATGCATTCCAAAAAATTATCCTAGCGTGAAAAATATCGCGCGTTTATTTTTTTTAATATTTCAAACTTCTTCACGCAAACCGACATCAATGCACGAATCTAATCGACGAAACATTTTTCTGTTCTAGAAACGAAAGCAGAACGTGGCTGCCCTGATCGGCGGTTCGGTGAGTCAAACAAAAAGAAAAATTGATAATAGAAAGACAAAAAGTCTTTCGGTGTAATGCATGTTTATGAACCAATGCGATTTACTTTGCTGTGGTGTAGTGTGTGTATGTGCCGTCCAATAAAGTACACTGCTCGAAATAATTGAAAGATCGCTTTTACAAATAATAATATTAGTAATAATGCATTTTTATATAAATTTGGCAAATAAATGTTTAAGTAGTTTTCTTCCAATGTACATACATTTATTAATTGGATAACTTAGATTGATAATCGTCGACGATTTTTGTCGGAAGAAATTTTGATTAATCAAACTCCAACACTATCTGGTAGATGCTTAAAGTATTGAGTATACGCTCTGAACATTCAAAATTTTGTAAAATTATTCAGTTTTATTGAATACGATCTTTCAAATGTCTCGAGCAGTGCGCCAACGCGCAAAAAAATTGCGCCACAGAGATTGCGCTACCGAAAATGCGCAATCATATCAGCTGCGTTATAAATCTTCCGTCCGTCGTTAATTTTCTCAATTTTCTCACTCGTGTGAGCTTAAATCTCGATTGTATTTCATAAAGTAGAGTTTGTGCTTCGTTATTAAGTAAAATTCGATATCGTGCAGCACCTCCGCGAAGCGATCTAATGTGATTATATAAACTGCTCGCAAAATTAATTTCACGATCATTGAAAAATTTTTAGGTTATAATTTTTCACTTAGAGTTAGAGTTTCGTAAAACAGAATACAACAGAGACAATGCTAGCGAGCGTTGATCCTTCGCGAAAAACGCGATACACAAGTTAGACATGTGAGCAGTTATTTGTTTACTTACGCGACACGCGATAAGTTCGATTGAACGAAGACAGACATCTCACGCACAGTAACATTTTTCTCGCGTAAATTTTGAAGAGAATCTTTATCTCTATCGTCATAATTTTCATAGTTTTTGATATTTCATTCTCGCTCGCGTTCGCGATTATTAATTTGATTTTGCGAATTTCACCGAATCGTATTTGCGGAAAAGTCGCGAGCGAACTTCGCAGAAATATTGCGGAGTTGTTATCCGCAAAAGCATTGCGGAATTGTCAGCGCAAAAGTATTGCGAATCTGTTATTCGCAAAAATATTGCGGAATTGTCTTCGCAAAAGTATTGCGGAGCTGTTATCCGCAAAAATATTGCGGAATTGTCTTCGCAAAAGTATTGCGAAGCTGTTATCCGCAAAAATACTGCGGAGCTGTATTGCAGCCTACTACGCTGCACCATCGAAACGTTATATTAGAGATATTCCGTGTCGTACGTAAGAATTTCGCACAGATTACTTTACCCACGTGTCGAAAGATTTCGCGAGATCGGCCTTCGATTCGCGTCGCGTGTTCCCTTCGCTCGCGGATTCCGTTTTCTTCGTAAGTGATTCGCGTCGCGCGTGTATCCAAGCGATATACTACAACTCGATCGGACTGTTACTGAATTTGTCGCACATATGTCGTTTATCCGAAAGGCCGACATTTCCTCGAAGACGCAGTTCGCGATATTTCATACGCAATTCGCAACTCGAAG